AGCATCCCAGGCATACAGAATCAATGTAGGGATGTGGATTTGGTCAGATCTGCAAGTCCCGGGCACTAAGACAATCAACGGTTCAGATCTGAAGGTCAACTGCTCTATCACGTTATAGCACCAATTGTTGCCAACGGCACTCCGGCTACTGCCACATGGACTCCGGACACCCTCATAAGACCCTTGGAAACGCAGACCCCCTACTCAAAGAGCCACATCTGAGAGGTTCCTTTCTAGTACAGGTTGTATCTGATGCCCACCAAAAGAAAAGAAAAAAACCCATACCTCTATTAGCAATAGTAATAACCAGCCCAAGAGACAGATTTGGCTAGAATCTGTGGGTGCAATATGAAATACATGCCCAGATCCTTGGCAGCCAAGGGTCTTTGCGTAGATATGATGTCTTTTATTAGACCAACTAAAGAGTTGGGAAGCTTGTTCTTTGCAAGCTTTTGGGCACAGACACCCTTCAACCCTATGCCTGAAGAAGGCGGTTTGTGCCCAAAAGTTTGCAAAGAACAATTTTTCCAACTATTTAGCTGGCCTTTTTTAAGTTAAATTTTCCATATTCTGAGCAAAATTTGCCAAAACAAATTCCAAATCTGAGAGTCACTCCAGAACCATCAGTGGCCCTGCTACCGCCTCCACCCCCATCTGGGGCTTCAGATGTTCCCAAACCCTTTGGCGGGCATCCTACTTGCAGGGCTATGTAGTTGGTCTAATGAAAGACATGGCGTCTTACCCAAAGAGCCTCGTCCGCCTACATCCAACACGGCTATAAGCAACACCCCGGATCCGTGTCATCTCTCTCCCTCCCAATCCCTTCTGCCACTCAGGGAAATGTTGCTCAACTTTCCTGGAAAGGCCAGGAAAGAGGTTCCCCCGCACCCCACTGCCAGCGCCGCCTGGCGAGCAGCCGTGGGGGGCACTGGCCCTGCCCGAAGCCAGCCCTTCCCCGCGCCCCTCCGCACCTGAGCGAGGAGCCGCTCCACTTTCTCTTGCACCACGGACTGGAGCTGGTCCAGGGAGCAGCCGGGCAGCAGGCGGGAGGCGGCGGCGGCGGCAGAGAAGCCCCCGTGGGCGCTCTCGATGGCCGAGACCCGGGCCTGGAGCTGGCTGGTCCTCAGCCCCAGGTACACGCAGGAAGCGGCCGCGAGCACCGAGAGCAGCGCGGCCAGCAGCGGCGGCCGGGCCGGGCAGCAGC